AACTCTTGTACCTCAGTTTGTCCAAGAAGCCCACACCTACTCTGAAAAGGCCACACCTCCTAGTAGTGCCTCTCTAATGACCAAACAGTCAAATATGAGCCAATGGAGGCCATTCCTGATCCAACTGTCACACAGACATACCAGAAAGTCTCAATTTAACACCAAAGAAGACAGCCTTATATCTTTGTACATGAATGCTCTAAATTCTGTGGGAACTCCTTTGACCATAAGATCAGGTAGTGCAGCTGGGGCAGAATTACATACAGCTGGCAGGAAGGCACAGGCTAGAGTGGCTGAAGTCTCAGGTTCGAAGTCAAGTTAGGTGATCCTACTCATCCCGTGATTCTAGGAGGCTCTTATACTCAAGAGGACGGCATCCTAGGATACACATAGGAAGCCTAGTTTCAATTCAATAATAAAATAAGTAAGTTCTAAAAGGATGTATCCCAGCCTGTGGGAGTAGGAAGTAGCAGGACAGCCATGAATTCTAGGTCATCTTTGGTGTACATAGCATCAGGCCAACCAGACTATATAGGAAGATCCAGTCTCAAAAAAAAAAAAAAAAAAAAAAAAAACCAAAACCAAAACCCAAAAACACGTCAACTATTCATCATCCTTGTTTCTACCTTCTTTGATCGGAAGTACTAGAGGTGCTTGTGAGACCTCAAGATGGGCTGGAGCCAGTATATGGCAGAGTCCTAACAACAACCAAAATGGGCCATCTTATGGCCCTTGGGGGGATACTTGGAGTCCTTAAGGTCAGGGTACAGTCAGAGCTGGATTGAGGGCATCAGTTTGTTGGTATAAATGTAGGCTTCAGGCAGGATGCTGGTAGGACCTTCTGGTGGTGTATTCTCCTTACTCTGGGATGAACTGGAATTGACTCCACCATGAAGTGACCACTGGCATTGAACTTGAGGTGACAGCTGATGATGGACTTGAGGTGATTGCTGGTGTTGAACTTGAGGTGATTGCTGGTGTTGGACTTGAGGTGACCCATGGTGTTGAACTTGAGGTGACTCAAGTTGGACTTGAGGTGACAGCTGGTGTTGAACTTGAGGTGATTGCTGGTGTTGGACTTGAGGTAACTGAAGTGAGACTAGAGGTGATGGCTGGTGTAGGACTTGAGGGAACTGGTGGTGTTGAAATTGAGGTAATGGCAGATGTTGGAGTACAGGTGAAGGCTGATTTTGGAGTTGACATAACTGCTGCTGTTGGACTTGAGGGAACTGATGGTATTGAACTCGAGGTGACAGCAGGTGTTGGAATAGAGGTGATGGCTGACTTGGACTTGAAGAGATTGTTGAAATTGGAATTGAAGTAACTCCTGAAGCTGTAATTGACATATTTGCTGGTGTTGCTCTTGGACTTGGGGTGACTGCTGGTGTTGGACTTGAGGTGACAGCTGATGATGGACTTGAGGTGACTGCTGGTGTTGGACTTGAGGTGACTCAAGTGGGACTTGAGGTAACTGCTGGTGTTGGACTTGAGTTGACTCAAGAGGAACTTGAGGTGACAGCTGGTGTTGGACTTCTGAAGGCTATTTTAATGACACCACAGTGCACCCATTTAAAGTATATAATTCAAGCTCTGTGTGGTGGTATATACCTGTAGTCTCAGGACTCAGGAGAAGTATGAGTTTGAGTCCAGACTGGGATGTATAGAAAGTTCTAGGCCAGCCTAGGCTACATGGCTAGATCTTGTCCTAAAACAAAAGTATACAACTCAATTTTTGTTAGTATGTCCACTCTGTGTCATTACCAAAATCAATTTTTAGAACATTTTAACCCCCACCCCCCAGGAAATCCAGTATTCCTTAGCCTACACACTTCCTACTGCATGAGTTACTTTTGTTATTGATGCCACCAAGCACTGTACAAGAAGTGACTAAGGGAGGCAAGATGATGAGAAAACTAGCCTTGGGCTCAGCTTCTGTTTGTAACTGTGGGAGCTGCCTGCTTGCATACCCGTGGTTCAGGAAGCAGATGGGGAGCTCTGGTGCTCTTCTGGTGGGACTACAGTCCTCAGTCCTCGGCATGGTGCTACCGACCTCAGGGCAAGACTTGCTCCTCAGCTAATGCTCTCTGGGAGGTGTGCCTCACCAGTGCCCCCGGTTTCCTCATCCAGTCAAGTTGATAGTTAACCATCCTGCCTACAGCTTCACCCCAGGGTACCTGCCAATCTGTTTTGTCTCTATGGATGTGTCCGTTCTAGCTATGATTTCAAATAGTGGAATGAAAACAAGGGCCCTAAGTTGGTGCTGCAGCTCATAATTGACAGTGTATGACTGTCATCTCAGCACCCAGGAGCGGGTAGCAGGAGGATCAGAAGATCAAGGTCACTCATGGGCCAAACCCTGTGCCAAAAAAAGTGTGATTTTTGTGACTGGCTTATTTCATTAACATAATGTACAGGGTCTCTCTATGTATCCCTGGATGTCCTGAAATTTGCTATGGAGACCAGGTTGGCCTCAAACTCTCAGAGATCTGCCTGCCTCTGCCTCCTGAGTGCTGGGATCAAAGGTGTGCCACCACCATGTGCAGCTCAAAATTCTTTAAATTTTTTAAATGAATGCTTTTCTCCGTATGTACTTAAAATATACATAAATATTTCAGTTACACTCATGTGACTGGCTAAGAAAGTACGAAAATGTGAACCCGTGTGAATCCAGTCTGGTTCTTACTATATAAAAATGTGTCCTCTGTGGCAGGCAATGTAGGAGGGTGACAAATGGGCAGGGTTTGTGCTCTCAAAGGGCTGTGTTGGCCTTGATGAGGGTAGGAGGTTGGCTGCAGGGATATGGGAGTTCAAGGCAGACATCCTGCATGTGTAGGAAAGAACTCCAGCCAGATGTAGGGTGGGACTCAGAAGCTTCCAGAAGGAAGTTCATGACTAGGCTGAGACCTAAAGAAAGAGTGGCCATAGAGAAGGAATGGTGGAGACTAGGGATGACATGCTAAGCCAGTGGTCCTCAACCTTCCTGATGCTGCAACCTTTTAATACAGTTCCTCATGTTGTGCTGACCCCCAACCATAAATTTATGTTGTTGCTACTTCATGACTGTAATTTGCTACTGTTATGTACCACGATGTAAATATCGGATATCCAGGAGATCCGATATGTAACCATGAAGGGGTTGAGACTCACAGGTTGAGAACCATTGTCCTAGGCCGACTCTAGAGAATGCTCAGTGCGTCACCAGTGCAGGGACTTAAAAGTGGGATTCAGGGTGAGGAACTGGGAACTGAAAGATCAAGGACAGGGCTGAGGGTGGAGCTCAGCTGGTGGAGTGCCTGTCTACCACACATAAAGCCCTGGGTTTGGTCCCCAGCACTACATAAGCAGGGTGTGCTGGCTCAAGCCTCTATCACAGCACTAGGAGGATAGAGACAGGAAGATCAGAAGTTCAAGGCCATCCTTGGCTACATTCAATTTTCTGGGCTACGTGACACTCAGGGGTGGAGGGGGAAATCAGTGAGATGGCTGAGCAAGAAAAGGTTCCTACTGCCACTAAGCCTGACAACCTGAGTTTGATCTCTGGAACCCATTTGGTGGGAGGAGAGGTACCGACTCCTGCAAATAGTCCTTTGACTTCCTCATATATGTTATGTACCACCCCCCCAAAAAAAAAAGATTATGAGGAGATCCGGGTCCCTCAATGGCTGCACCACATGGCAGGGATTTGCTGTGCCTCACTGGATGTCAGGAAGCCATCAGGAGATCTGCATTTTTGCTGCTGAGGGGAATGAATGTGTTGCCTGTGGGGAGGGGCAGATAGTGGGGGCGGGGTGGAGGAGGTGAGCAGGGGTTTCTGAGCAGCAACTCCAGGGATACTGCAAACACTGGATGTTTTATTTATTTCCCAAGGCATTAGGGCTCAGACTCAGAGCCTTGTGCAGGCTAGGCAAGCAGGTCCACCAAGCTGCATCCTTGGAATCTCACTATGTAGCTGTGGCTGGCTTGGAACTCACAGAGATCCACTTGCCTCTGCCTCTTAAGTTATACTAGTTTTGTCAGCTTGACACAAACTTGAGTCTCCTGAGAAGAGAGAACCTCACGTGAAGAACTGACTCCTCTTTTGACATGTTGACAAGTCTGTGGGACATTTCTTTTGATTAATGATTGATGTGGGAAGACCCAGCCCACTGTGGGCGGTGCCACCCCTGGGCAGGTGGTCCTGAGTTGTGTAGAAAAGCAGGCTGAGCAAATCAGTAAGCAGCACTTCTGCTTCAGCTCCTGCCTGCATTTTTCTGCCCGTAGTACTTCCCTTGTTCACAGGACGGAACCTGTAAGGTGAGGTACGCCCTTTACTCCTCTAAGTTGGTTTTGGTCAGTGTTTTATCACATTGAGTAAAAATCAACCATGAATTAAAGCCTTTGGTTTCTTTTTCTTTTTCTTTTTCTTTTTTCTTTTTCTTTTCTCTTGGGTTTTCAAGACAGGTTTTCTCTGTGTTGCCCTGGCTGTCCTGGAACCCACTCCATAAAGCAAGCTAGCCTCAAACTCAGATATTTGCCTGCCTCTGCCTCCCAAGTGCTGAGAATTAAGGGCATGTGCCACCACCACCCAGCCCTTGGTTTCTTGATTTGCAATTACCGGGTTATTACAAATTACCATGCTCAAAAGGAGTAAAGAATTAGTTTATACTGATTCATAAACTATATAATTATAAATCTCACCTGGTCATCTTCACGTAGCTATTTGCTGCAGGTGTGAAACAATTACTTGAAGTGCCCACTGATTTGGCAAGGCCACAGATCTAACCTGGTGGACACCTTGCAGGATCATTTATCTGCCAGGGTTCCCTTACAGCTCAGTGATAAGGTTTTGCTCTCAGGGGAAGAACCTAGCAGGAAGTAGAGTGCACGACATGTGTGCCTATGCAAGTTAGAGTGGCTCTGCTCAGCATTGCCTCCTCCCTGGGAAACCAGGCATAGTTAACAGTTGACCACATGACCTAGTTTCCTTTTCTCTGACTTTGGGGCTCTCCTTCTTTGTCCAGGTATGTACCCCCTGGCTACAGCAAACCAGGAGGCAGAGAGCAGCCGGAAGCTGACACATCTACTAAATGCAGTGACCGATGCCCTGGTCTGGGTGATCGCTAAGAGCGGCATTTCCTCCCAGCAGCAGTCAGTTCGCCTAGCCAACCTCCTGATGCTTCTTTCTCATGTCCGGCACATCAGGTACAAACCCTTGGGAAGCTGTTCCAGTGGGGTGTGGGCAGGGCGTGTGCTCAGAGCTTTGGGAAAATGTAGGCAAGTTTGCAGTGGATATGGTAGAGCGTTCAACTTTAAGGAAGAATAAACTTTTGAATGGGAGGGAATTCATCAGTGCACACACCTGCATCAATGCTCGGCACATTGTGGGTGTTGAAATGAGTGTCACATGGCACCTGATAGGATTTTTGTGACAGCTGGTGGGACCCACCTGGATGTAGTTGCTAGGGTTTAGAATTTATGTAGAGAGTCCTAAAATGGGCAGTTCTCCTTCTTAAATGAGTTGCCACCTCATGGTGGCCAAGGCCTGGGGTCATTTCTGTAAGGACGCTAAGCCTGGCTCTCCTGGTCACCCTTCAGCTGAGGACTGGGGTGTGACCAAGTTGTCTTTTTGTTTCCATGGCATCAGGATACTAAGGTTGACATCTAAGAGAACTTCCCAACAGGTTGAGGAAGCAAGGCTGTGGATGGAGCACAGTCCAGGCCAGGAAGTGTACCGTGTGTGCACTGATGGAGAAGTTGTGCTTTGATGGCTATTATTGGTACAGTGATGCTCAGTGGGTGGTGCTGTTCAGGAGGATGGCCCTGCTCTGAGTCTGGGAGAGAGGAGTTGAAGATGGAAGGCAGTGCTTGCCCAAGTAGGAAGCTGTGAGAGCTGTGGGGAAAGACAGGGTTCACGTCAAGCATTTAACATCGAGGAGGAAAGAAGAAAGATTCCTTCCTATTTCTTCTTTAATGAGTGCTCGGCTCATGACCCTTTGTGGAATAGATATTGGCCTATCCTCACCATGTGTGAGTTCACCAAACTGCTGAAGTTTTGTTCATAATTGCCAAATCAGTACACATGACTCTTTCAAGGTCACGCCAGGAACAGCAATATTTTTCAGTGTTTCCATATGTGCCTTCCCAGCTGGGTTGGTTGAGGGGATAGGTGCTTCTGCCCTCCCAGTGTGAAGAAGCCTACTAACAGTTACACCACTTAGAACCTTGGCTTTTATGTTTCCGTGCTTTTTATGAATGAGTCTGTGGGGGCAGCATTGGGTGGTGAGATGGAGGTCAAGTGGGTCAATGCAGGCTGTGGAGGGAGCCGGATGTGTGAGCTGCAGAACAATGGGACATAAGTACAGGGAATGTGGGAGGTGGGCTGGCTTTGTGCCGGAGACTTGGGGACTATCTCAACATTCCGAAGGCGCTCTGGAGGGAAGGATTCTCAGTGCCTTTTCCCCCCCCCGTAGTAACAAAGGCATGGAACACCTGCTCAGCATGAAGTGCAAAAATGTGGTCCCAGTGTATGACCTGCTGCTGGAGATGCTGAATGCTCACACGCTTCGAGGGTACAAGTCCTCGGTCTCGGGGGCTGACTGCAGCTCAGCAGAGGACAGTAAGAGCAAAGAGGGCTCCCAGAACCCACAGTCTCAGTGACGGCCAGGCCTGAGGCAGACAGTCTACGGAGATGGTCAAAGGTGGAACCATGCACCCTTGTGGCTCCCGAGCTGGGGCTTCATCTTATGGCTGCCTTGGTCATGTACCCTTCCCCTACCTTCCACCTCCCAGGGGTCAGGGCGGGTGGGTTGCAGTGTTCCTTGTACCAGAGGGTAACTTTGAATGCAGAGGTCTAACTTTGGAAGGTTCTCCATGTGGCCCTTCTCTTACTCGCCATCTCCTCTGCCCACTTGGAAAACATGTTAAAGCTTCTGGAATGAATGGTGAAAGTCTGACTCGGAAGGATTGGCATTAGGGGAGAGAGAGTGACACTCTGCCGCAGGGGTTCTCAACCTTCCTAATGCTGTGACCCTTCGTACAGCTCCTCATGTTGTGGTGACCCTAACCATAAAATTATTTCATTGCTACTTCATAACTATAATTTTGCTACTGTTATGAATTGTAAATATCTGATACGCAACCTCCAGAGGGGTTATGACTCACAGGTTGAGAACCAGTGTTCTGTAAGAAATTAACGGTTCTGTAGAATTAACGGTTTGTCTGTAAAATCAACCTTTGAATTGTGTCTTCTGGGCCACTTGATTGTAGGATTGATAACCACATTGACAACTCGTTCCCCATTCTTACCTCACAGGCGTGTGAGGACTGATGATGATGATGGTTATTCTATCGACGACCAGAGGGACAGATGTGAGCTGTCTTACTCCACTCAGGTCCTCGTACTCTCTGTGGTGATTCATCCTTCTTGGTTTACATCTGTAGAGCTTGCTTATTTGGCTTGTTGAGTGTGCCACTGTCATGGATTAAGACCTCCCTCCCTCCCTCCCTCCCTCCCTCCCCTCCTTCTCTTCCTCTCTCTCCTTCTCACCTTCTCTCCCTTCCCCCTCCCCTGTCTGTGTGTGACAGGCCACATATTTGCAGGAATGGAGTCTGTCCTGTGGGTGTGAAGCACAGCACAGGCTTCTTTTAGGCCTTGTGAACGAAGTTTTCAACCCATGGGAGGCACAGATGCTACAGGCTACAGACATACATGATGCACTACCCTCTGGAGCTCTCTCTCTCTCTCTCTCTCCCTCTCTCCCTCTCTCTCTCTCTCACACACACACACACACACACACACACACACACACAGCTTTAGGCCTATAGAGTGTGGACTGGATGGACAAAGCACTTGAACACATCTTTTTGGTTTTTTTTTCACTCCTTCAAATAAAGAAATATTTAGGGGTAATTATTTATGGAAAAAACAAACACAAACAAAACCCTTCTCTAAACTATAGGTCTCATGTAGGTAGTTTTGGTTGTTCTGGAACTTGCTCTGTAAACCAGGCTGGTCTAGAACTCACAGAGATCTGCCTGCCTCTGTCTCCTGAGGATTAAAGGCATGCACCACTACCACTCAGTTTAACATATTTTCTTACCAGAACATTTTGAGGTGGGTTGTGTGAAGTAGAAACTTAGTAAACACATTAGCTCTTATTCAAATGAAATGTAATGGGAGCTAAGGAGAAAGCCCTTCCAAAATGGCAATTGTAACTCAAATTTTAGAAACTGGAATCTTCTTCAGACTTTTTTTTTTTTAATTTTTAGGAAAATGGCAAATTCACAAAATGTGTAACGGCTCTACTTTGGAAGTAAGCAATTAAATGGTCATGCCGATTGGGTGTTTTAGAAAGTAAAACCTGGTTATACAGTATTAAATATACTTTCCTTTGAAAATAGGGTTGCTTTGGTCAGTACATCCTGTATTTTCTGAGTCATTCATTAGGAAGATTACACTTAACAAGAGAGAACTTGAATATGTCTTAATTTTGATATTGGTGTGTCGTTACTAACGCTGACTTTAGCAGCTGTCTCACACACACTGGGACACTGGCATAGGAACACACAGGTGCTGGGGGGGGGGAGCAGAGGAGTTCTGAGGCCGTTTGAAATGACTAGTAGTTCAGGGCTTTAGCCCAAGAACATCAGTGCAGAAAGCCTTCCTCTGTAGACAAAGGTCACGGTGGGGGGTGGAGGGCAGGAAGTGGGAGGCAAACTCAGCCTTGAAACACTGCCAGTAAAATCCTGTGCTTTCAAGAGTCTGCCAGACAAGAAAACAAAAATCCGAAAGAGCTCCAAGCTGTTGCCTCCTTAGTACACAGTGAAGTTCTTGGTTGTATTTGGATACCTAAGGAAGGGATCGGTTTGAAGTCAGGAGGTCCAGCGCCCTTCTGTGCCAAGTTTTGAGTGTACTTAGATAAGTACATGCTACTGAGGCCAATAGTTAGCCTTGAATTCTTAATCCTTCTTGTGTCAACCTGTGGGGATCTCAGACATGTACCACCACAGCCAGCCCATTAATTATTGGTGCCCAGCTCTCCCACCTGCTTCTCGGGTGCTCATTTCACTGTGTCTGGTTCAGTGTGTGTGTGTGTGTGTGTGTGTGTGTGTGTGTGTGCGCGCGGGCGCGTGCGGGCGCGCGCGCGCGGGGGGGGGGGTTCGGGGGCAGGGAGACTCCAAAGCTCTAGGTCATTTCTTCTTGACTTTCGTCTCACCTGAGTCTGGAAGGGACACAGAATAGCCCTGCCTGAGACTTCTCAGTGCAGGGCTGTTTTCCACTCCGCTCTGGGACAAGTGGTTGGTTGAAATGTGATCTGTACTCTGAAGACCATTTACTGTTTCTGAGCACCCTAGGGCCCTGTTCTCTCTTTCAGCTGAAGTGCTGATATCTCTGGCCATCTGTTCCAGACATGCTGTCTAAGGATGACACGGTTTTCAACATGGTTTGCAATGTATTGGGAAAATGCTCAATGTCCATTTTAAAGATGGGGCATTTTTCTGTTTAATTCATGATGGTGGCTTCCTTGAAACCTTCACATTCCTTTGGGACAGTTTGAGTTCCTCATAGCATCACATCTCACTTATTTTTTTAAGGATGAGTAGGACCTGGCACCTGTGAACATGGATTAACTACTGAACACCACCCCTCACCCCCACCCCCACGAAACCACAGCTGACCTATTACAGAGCAGCCACCCTCTGTTCTGCCTTGAACTGGTATGGCAGGGTTCCTCTCTTTTAATTAGCAAGTGATCACCCGAGAAAATTATCTATAGATGGGTGGGCTTTGCCTAACTCCCAAATCACAAGTTTAAGTTATAAATGGTCACCATGAAATACCCTTAGTACAGGTATTATTATTCTCTACTGACAGGGAATTCTCACAGATTCCTGGGTATGAACTAAAGACAGGTGTGGACTAGATTGTCCACAGGAGAGCTGCAAATGTCCCTCTCTTTTCATTGCCTCTGTTTCTCCTACATGTCACTTGTGAATAGAGATTAGATCTAAAAGTAATCCCAAAAAGGTGTTTTTTTCCCCTTGAGAGTGAGAACATAAGACAAATAACACAGGGAGTTTTAACCATTTAAAAAAAAACAAAACGCTGCAACAGCATACACACACACACACACACACACACACACACACACACACACACACAGAGCCCTTCCTGAATGACTTTTGGTAATTCATCGGGGAAG